CAGCCACAGAACAAACAAAAAAAAAGTTAAAAAAAAGAAAATAAGGGTTCGGATCTCCTTATGGGCCAGCCATCAATCAATCAATCAATCAATCAATCAATAAATAAATAAATAAATAAATAAATAAATATCCCCATACTCGCCAGCCCCCCCCACACACACACACACAGTTAAAAGAAAGAAATTACGGCCAGCCCCCAATAAATAGATAAAGTGAGTTTAAATAAATTTCTGACTCCAGGCAAACAAAAAACCCTGCCTAGAACTGCCTAGAACACTCATGCAACTCCTATTTGTTTATACTTAGCTAAAAACTGTCAATTATGACATCATAATAGCTTAAAAATTTAGATTAAAATATTGCCAATTTAACTGGTATGCATGTAAACTGGCAGGTCTTCACCAATTACAACAAATGGTTGTGGCCATTTACTCTTTGATACTTCTTTGCAAAGATTCAAGGTAATTTTTTTCCAAATCACCCATATTTGAATGAAAATTACTTCACAGGGCAATTATCCTCATGGTCAACAGAATATAACTGAAAACTATATGTATTTTTATTAAACTAATTCAATTTAATCCAAACAGCACTATGGCCAGTTATTTGGCATTCTCCCAAGCTGGGAGAATCCCAAACATATTCCCAATGCTTTCCATATTTGTTCTCTAACAGGAGATACATTTTTATGTGAATAAAAACAGAGAAGCCTTCTTATAATAGTAATTCACTTTATGATTACAGAAGACAGGAGCAAAAAAAAGAAAAAAAATCAAAGGTCATCAAGTTAAAAATGACAGATCAAAGACTTGGGTTTGGGTTTATCTCTTCTCCTTCCCAGTATTCACTGACATGATAGTAAAGTAATTTTTAAGAGCATAAACTTTACAATTTGTAATAATGAATATACTAATAAACTTTTAAAAAAAAAAACACATTAAACTGACGAGGAAAAAGAATAGGAGAGACTACAACAGATGAGGATTCCATAAAATCTTTGTTAGATGTAAAGTGAATGAATGCAGGTCAGAAAGGAGCTCAAAGCAATCTAAGAACTGTGAGGTCCGATATACTTACCAGGTCCAGAGACATAGGAGCTTGGGGCTTCAGTCACCTCCTCCTCACCGGTGTCTGGGATAACTGCTAAATTGCATGTTTTGGCAACTGTTTCCAAACTAGTTGCTACCACAATGGGTATAAACTACCCAAATGTTATCACAAAATGTACAATATGACTCTTGCCTTTTCTTTGTTTCAAGGTTCCTGGAATTTATGATGTAAAAAGTAATGTATAGAAAAACAGCAGCAATACATTTTTATGTGAATAAAAACAGAGAAACCTTCTTATAATAGTAATTCACTTTATGATTACAGAAGACAGGAGCAAAAAAAAAAAAAAAAAAATCAAAGGTCATCAAGTTAAAAATGACAGATCAAAGACTTGGGTTTGGGTTTATCTCTTCTCCTTCCCAGTATTCACTGACATGATAGTAAAGTAATTTTTAAGAGCATAAACTTTACAATTTGTAATAATGAATATGCTAATTAACTTTTTAAAAGAAAAACACATTAAACTGATGAGGAAAAAGAATAGGAGAGACTACAACAGATGAGGATTCCATAAAATCTTTGTTAGATGTAAAGTGAATGCAGGTCAGAAAGGAGCTCAAAGCAATCTAAGAACTGTGAGGTCCGATACACTTACCAGGTCCAGAGAGATAGGAGCTTGGGGCTTCAGTCACCTCCTCCTCACCAGTGTCTGGGATAACTGCTAAATTGCATGTTTTGGCAACTGTTTCCAAACTAGTTGCTACCACAATGGGTATAAACTACCCAAATGTTATCACAAAGTGTACAATATGACTCTTGCCTTTTCTTTGTTTCAAGGTTCCTGGAATTTATGATGTAAAAAGTAATGTATAGAAAAACAGCAGCTCATGTTACTTTAATGTAAATTCCTGGTAAACAACTTTAGAACTGCCCCTTTAAAGATTCTCCTTTTTCACTTAAATACTACTGACTTCTCTTTCGTCCTTCAGAGCACAATTCAAGGCAACTTGAATTTGTTTCCCAGAGGGCAATCCTAAAACTTGACCCAAATAACACTTTGTTTTGACCCAAAATAACATATATTTTGCCTAGTTTCTTCTAGGTTTACACAGGAATGATTATCTCACTTGGAAAATAAACCTTAAAATAGGGAGCTATTTCTACTAAGAAATAAAGTAGAATTTGGAAAGCAAAATAAAGTTTAAATAATGCAACATTGCATAAATTTTTATTAAGTGATTAAGATAACATATGTATTTGAGAAACAGCTTCTAATTAATGGCCTGATCCAGGAAATTATCTCCACAAATAAATTAGCATAAAATTAAACTAGATACTGAAAAACTGTACCCACGTATATGTAATACAATTTATCAACCAGTTTATTCTAACTGAACATAAAATAACAAAGGTTCTAGAGCCAGACTGCCTGAACTCAAACCCTAGGCTCTTCCACTCACTAGCTTGGCAGATTACTTAATTGCACTAGATCTCAAGTTTCCTAGTGTGTAGAATGGGGATAAAATAACAGTATTTACAATAACACCAAAGTCAAGAGTTCGGATGGCCGTACAAGTCAGCCGCCCCCAAAAAAGGAAGAAAAAATACAAGACATTGAATGTAATAAACTTTAAAGTATTTACAATAACACCAAAGTCAAGAGTTCAGATGGCCGTAAAGTCAGCCGCCCCCAAAAAAGGAAGAAAAAATACAAGACATTGAATGTAATAAACTTTAAAAAGTTTCTGGCACAAAATAAGCATTAAGTCTAGGAGATTAAGCACCAACTTTTATATCATGGCTTTTTCAATGTAAATGGGTTTCTATTCACATTACACAAATTTGTATCTTACTAAAACTATATAATATACGTTACTCTAAATATCCATGTTGCCCTTGCATTAACAACTAATTCTTCAACTGAATAAAACGTTTTTTTAAATTGAAAAAAATTGACTGTACATATTTGTGAGATACAATGTTGAATATCAATCAATGCCTGTGTGCAATATGTGCTCAAATCAGGATAATTAGTATATTCAACCTTACACATTGCTATCATTTTTTGTGGCCCTTTACAAATTTCTCACTAACCCCCACTCCCCCTCACCCTTTCCCACCTCTTGGTGTCAATTTTGTTCTCTCCATTTGAAAGTTCAACGAATTATTGTGATTGTTGTATCTTTCTTTTATTTTTTTTTAGCTCCTTCTTATGATGAATAGAAGATTTTAAGTGCACTTCATCACCACCTGAATCATTTGGATGCCCATATATTCCAAAAATTATTTTGTTGTTGTTGCTGTTTGGGGGTTTTGTTTTGGGGTTTTTTTGGAGGCTGGCCAGTATAGGGATCCACATCCGTGACCCTGGTGTTATAAAGGCTGTGCTCTAATCAACTGAGCTAACTGGCTAACTGCTATTTCAGAAATTTTTATAACTATCTTTCTACTACAAGATACTTTCATTTGTCCCTTTATTCACTCAATCACCCAACAGATATT